CTGGCTGGAATGAACCGACCTGGTCTTTCCTGAGTCTGCAAATGCAGACTAGACAATCTTCCCAGGACTTTCTGGCCAAGCAGCCATTTGTAAGGGTTTCCGGGGTGCGGTTGCTCACCCGTCTTCACATCTGTATTCTCCCAACTGAGAAACAAACAGAGGAAGCCAAACAAGCATCCCATACCAGCCCCCTTCCCAGAGGACGGGGCTCTCTGGAAAACCATGCTGGGAGGGGCAGGCTGGGCTGGGCCCACAGTGGATGTCCATGTAGCTATCCCAGGCCCTAAGTCTACACCTGGGAACAACCACAGGGAGAGGGAGGTGGGCAGAGGAGAGAGCCAGATGCACGCACGATCTTTCAGCCACTCCACAGACCCGCTTTCTTGAAGAACTAGATCCCAGAGCAAGCCCCTGCTGCTTTTCAGTGCAGTGTCCAGACTCCATGGCTATCAGGGGCAAGTGGGCGCCAGNTATTGTGGGTGAGAGGTTTGGGGATACCAGGCACAGCTGTTCACCCTTTGAGTTCTGACTAACTGAGGCATTGACACAGATACCAGATTGGAATGAAGAGACAGCTCTTTTAACTGATGAGAACACCCCATAATTGTAAAATACAGGCCTTCTGGTCAACTGTGTTGGAGGGCATGGCCTGGCCTGGAGCCCAGAGATCACTTTCTACTACTTTTACTCTCAGCTGATGAAAGGCAGCCCCAGTGCAGAGCCCACCTGACCCCCCACCCGGACGCCAGCTGAGATGCTGAAGCCAGGCGAGCAGGCCACCCCGGCCTCTGGCCATGCAGAGCCAATTACCGTGGTAGAGTAACCCACTGATTAGGGACCATCCCCCAGCCCCATCCACTGGAGGAGGGGTGAGGAGGAGCAGGGGAGCGGGCCTAGAAGCACTCACCCAAAAGGCAGGGGAATAAGCAGAGAAAAGCGAATGAAGGGATTAGTTGAGGGGTGTGCTGGGTGCTCTGGTGGCACCTGTCCATCTCTGTTTGTCACTGACAGTTCGAACACCAGCATCTCACTTTCCAGGAAACAGCTGGTGCCTTCTCCAGCCCTCTCTTCCTACAGTTGTGGCGAAGACACAACAAAGGCTGCACCAGAGAATGCCTAAAAAAAAATCTTCCCTGAAGCTCTGACTGATTTGAGGGGAGACCTGGCTGGAATGAACCGACCTGGTCTTTCCTG